TAATTACTATTAAGTGCGAATTTTTGATAAGAAATATGTTATGATAATTAATATTCAAATAACAATGGATAAACAAGATTTATTTATTTTTATTTATTTTATATTTTGAATTTAACGGTTTTCCCTGTGCCATCTTTGAAAGAAGTGATATGAAGTTATAGCTAACTTCACATCACATAATATTAAATGCAGACTTTTCAAAATTGTATTTTTTACTATATTAAATGCTTTCAAATGAATACTAATAAGTAAAGAAAATAATTACTCTTAAGTGAGAATGTTTAAGAAGAAATATGCTATATTAATTAATTATCAGATAAACAAAAGGTTTGATTTAATATTTTGAATTTGACGGAAGATTCATTTTTTTAGAACTTTTTAAAAATAAGATAATTAAGAATTTTTAATTTTTTGTTATAAACATATAAGGCAAAATTAATTTTATGAACTTTGAAACGTTTCAATTTGGTCGTGGGCTTATTGAACTATGAAAACTTGTAGAGTTCCTTTTTTTATCATGAGTTTCTGTTAATTATATTTTGCCTTAATTCATTAGTATGGCAACTTATTAGATTTATTATTAAATTTTAAAACTAAGAATGTTTTATATTAATTTTCAAAATGTTCACGATTTGTCTTCTGATAATTACGAATTTAGGAACCAAAAAATAACAATATATTTATTTACAAATCGTGAATTGTTTGAAATACACCACTAGTTCCATGTTCTCAGAAATAATGTCACGTTGCATTATTTCATATTTATCTCTAATTTAAGGGGAAAAACATATCGTTTAATAAAACTGGTGACTAACATCCCGCATCCTCTGTTGTTTACTAACATTCACACATCATGTATAATAATATATAAATATATATGTATATATTGTATAAATACGTTTAGCAAAAAGCCAGGGACGAATTAGACTTCAAACAAAAAATAACATTAAATAGTAATTCACAATTATTATCATTTGAATAGGTTTTTGCAGTAATCCAGTAAATGTCTATTTCATATATTTGAAATTTGAATTTTGAATTTTACCGCGTGAATCTAAACGCGCGAACTTCACACTCAAAGTACATTATTCCACATTTACGTGCAGTAATTTTTAATAGAGAATAAAGATAATTCTGTAACAAGTTTAGTAATTTTTTTCTAGACAATTTTGTTCCAAGACTTGTTCTAATTTTTATGTGCACAATTAAAGATAGTTTTATAAGCTTTCTAATGATAAATAATAATTATAATATAATAGATTAAATTTAAACAAAATAAATAAAACTTCCTTTTCACATACAAACCCCTAAACACCCCTATACAAACAATTAAAATAAAATTAATTTTATACAAGAATACATCCCTTACAATAGATGAGAGTTAAACTTGTACAATTTGTTTAATTTTTTTTTAAATACAAATAAGTCTCCAAATACACCCCTGGTATTTTTATCACATCTCTAACCCTCCAAACTTCCTTTTAACCTACAAAACCCTAAACAACCCCATACAAACAACTAAAATAAAATTAATTTAAAGACAAAAATACATCCCTTATGATAGATGAGAGTAAGACTTGTACAATTTGTTTTAATTTTTCAAAATACAAATACGTCTCCAAATTCATCCCTGTCAATTTTACCACATCCTAAACCCTCCAAACTTTCTTTTCACCTACAAACCCCAAAACAACCCCATACAAACAATTAAAATAAAAATAAATTTGTACAAAAATACGTTCCTGATAATAGATAGAAGTAAAACTTATACAACTTGTTTTATTTTTAAAAAAATACAAATATGTCTCCAAATACACCCCTGGTATTTTTACCACATCCCTAACCCTTCAAACTTCGTTTTCACCAACAAACCCTTAAACACCCCCATACAAACAATAAAAATAAAAATTTTATACAAAAATACGTTCCTGATAATAGATGAGGGTTAAACTCATACAACTTGTTTTATTTTTTTAAAATACAATTACATCTCCAAATACGCCTCTGGTATTTTTTAAATTTTCTAAACCCTTCAAACTTAGTTTTCACTAACAAACCCCAAAACACCCCCATACAAAAAACTAAAATAAAATTAATTTTCTACCTAAATACGTCCCTGTACAACCGCACACAATCAGCCATCTTTCTTTTATACAACCAGCGCCACTAAATTTTATTTCTCTCTCAAACGTCAAACGTCATGTAATAATAAAAATTATTAATTTAAATAAATAAAACAGGTTTAGTTTAAACAAATTTAGTGTAAAATTAAATAAATTAATATGTAAATAAATTGTGCGTGAGGTGAAAGTAAGTGCGAAGTGAAAAATTCAAAAGCAAAAAGTAAGTGACAGATCTAACCTCAAAATTGTACAATATTGTAGAAAATAGTTTATTTGGCTTGAAGTGTGTTTGTTTATGTTTATTTGATTATAAATAGTGGCTAGAATATTTTTTTATAAATGGTGGCTAGAGTTTTGATGTTTGTGTGAAGTAATTTGTTGCATAATTGTGCAATACATACAATTTGCACATAAGTATATTATTTATTTTGTAACTTCAAAACCATTTGTTTAATATAAATGTTGCCTTCCGCAAATTTGTTCAAAATTAAATTGTCTATAATATTGTCTAATATTACAATGCCCTACAGCAACTCTGTATACTTTAAAAATGCATTTAAAATTACATATACTAGTTTCCGTACAAACTGTACTTCAGATTTAGATTTCTTTCATACTGCGTGAAATAACATCTTGGTTTGGATTCTAGTATACCCGGTGCATAAATTTGTTTTATTGTCTATAATATTATCTTACATCACAATGCCCTACTGCAACTCTGTATACTTAAAAATTGTATTCGAAGTGCACCATACTAGTTTCCATACAAACTACACTTGAGTCTTATATTTTTCTTTAGTGTGTAAAGTTACATCTTGGTTTGGATTCTAGTATACTCAGTGCATTAATTTATTTAGTCGCTTGTAACTTCCAAACTATTTGTTTAATATGAATGATGGGTAAGAAAAGCTTGTTCAAAAATAAATTGTCTATAAAGTTGTCTTGTATTATAATGCCCTACAGCAACTCTGTATACTTCAAAATTGCATTTGAAATTACATATACTAGTTTCCATACAAACTGCACTTGAGTCTTAAATTTCTTTCATACTCTATGAAGTTATATCTTGGTTTGGATTCTAGTATACCCAGTGCAATAATTTGTTTTATTGTTTGTAACTTCCAAACCATTCGTTTAGTATGAATAGTGCCTTCGGCAAATTTGTTCGAAATTAAATTGTCTATGAAGTTGTCTAATATTACAATGCCCTACAGCAACTCTGTATACTTTAAAAATGCATTTGAAATTACATATACTAGTTTCCATACAAACTTTACCCAGTCTTACATTTCTTTCACACTGTGTGAAGTAAAATCTTGGTTTGGACTCTAGTATACCCAGTGCATAAATTTGTTTTATTGTTTGTAACTTCCAAACCATTCGTTTAATATGAATGATGTGTAAGAAAAGTTTGTTCAGAATTAAATTATAAACAATGTTGTCTAATATTATAATGCCCTACAGCAACTCGGTGTACTCTAAAAATGATTATTAGATGTACATCTTTGCTTTCGCCATTATTGTAAAGAATGAGTATAGTAAAAACGGCGGATACAAAGTTGTATATTTACAAATTTTGTTTAGAAATATCGATAGATAAAAAGGAACTCTACTGACGAGCAAAATTATAAAAAATATCAAATGAAAAATGGACTCTACTGACGAGCAAACTAATATATTAACTCTTTTTTTCGTTTATTAATGTAATGTAATTTTTATTTAAGAAAACAAAGAAACTCTACTGACAACAATCCAACACGATTTAAAAAAGTAAAAAAGAACTCTACTGACGAGCAAATCGGTATCCGTAAATTGATATTTTATTATAAGTATATTTTATTTGCAAGTTTGATTTGCTCGTCAGTAGAGTCTTTTTTTCTAAATATTTTAATGAAATTTTCCGAAACTTCAAGTTTATTTTTGTCTTATTTTTTTTTAATATTCTACTCTGGTCGAAGTTGCTCGTCAGTAGAGTCCTTTCTGCAATTAATATTTTTACTAATATTTTCCTTTAGTCCAAAAATAATTTGATTGTCGGTAGAGTTCCTTTTCTAATATTTTGTCCAATTTTTCTATTTTTTACCAATATTTATGAAATTTCGAGTTGCCAGTCAGTAGAGTCCTTTCTAGTGAATTTTCATTGATAGCTTAAGTTTTGCTCGGCAGTAGAGTCTATTTTTTCCTCTACATTTTTGAATGATATTTAATAAATAGATTTACATTGCTCGTCAGTAGAGTCCCTTTCTTCTGAATTAATTTTCTAAATTGAATATTTTTCACAAATTTAAGTTGATCATCAGTATAGTCCTTTTGTCATAAAGATTTTATAATTATTCTTCTCAAGTCCAAGTTTTAGTTTCTCGTTAGTAGAGTCCCTTTTTTAGTTTAATATTTATATTAATAGCATTGCTCTCAAGTTCGATTTGCTAGTCAGTAGTCTTATGTTACACTTTTTTTTAATCTGACCAAGTTATATTTGTTCGTCAATAGAGTCTCTTTTCCCATTTTATTTCATTAATAGTTTTGTCAAGTTCGATTTGCTCGTCAGTCAAGTCCTTTTTTAATTGGAATGCAAAACATAATTTTTTTAAACTGAGATGTTATTTTTTTTTAATGATTGTAATTGTATAAATCTTACAAAATTTTATGATTTGTGTATAAAATTTTATGTCACCTCCATAAATTGTTCACAGAAATAATTCACAGAGACGTTTTTGGGAATCTTGTTTTATTCACCAAACAGCAAAAACAAAAACAGCATCAACAAAAGAAATGATAACTTTTTAATTTGTGAAAACCATCAAGTAATTTTTAATTTATATATATATATATATATATATATATATATATACAAATATTATAAAAAGATGTACTCACCGAGACGAAGTACTTTTTCAAGACAAATCATTACTTCTGCTTGCATTCTCTACAACAAAAAAAAACAATTATTATTTTAATCACTAATTAGGCATAAGCTATAAGGCAAATTGCTGGAACTTCCCATACCGTAGCAAAATATTCAAAAATTATTAAATGTTTTCAAATAGTTTATTATAAATACTGTAACTTCGTATTTTATGGACAAAATATAAGAGCTTATAATTGAACGAAAATAAATGAACAAAACTTGATCAAGCTGTGTTAGGAAGAATCTTATCTCATATTTCTTTGAATTATTTGCCATACACAACTAGTTATTTTTTTGTTGAATTAGATAATTGATGTACCATACAATTGAATCATAAATTTTGCATAACAAACCATTTATATTCCAAACGAGTCATTCATCATTCGAAATTATATTTCTATTTGTACTGCAGAAACAATTGTATTAGTGCAAATTTAGTACGTATTTGCATTTCTGTTCTTCTTTAATAACAAATCCAGACGAAACCAATGCAACTTGAAAAACAACATTTACTGAACAATACAGAATTCTTGAATGAAACAATAAAAGTTTAATATCTTTTTAAAAATTATTTGTAAAATTCATTGTCAATTATCTATTTCTAAAAACAAATTTTCATTCAATCATTCTATGTGAAAATACTTCACATTATAAACATCAGTGAAAACATGGGTTAAAACTAATAAATTTTGTCTTAAGGCAAGTTGCACGATTTTTCTGATACTAACCTATCTACTGATACTTATCAACTTAAACAGAAATAAAAATAGAATTATAACATATCAAACTATTAATTTTGAAAATAATGTTTTCCCTCACAACTTTAGTCCTTATCAAATTTGCCTTTGAAATTTTTAAAATCGGTTAAGCCGTTTTTGAGTAAACGTCGACGAAAAGTTTGACTTTTATCTTTTTCCAATTTCGGTATCGTACGATTCAGAACGACTTGAACATAAAATAAATCAATCGTATTCTCTTTCGAGCAGTTATTGTTTTTGTAAATGAATTCTACTGACGAGCAAAACAAAACCGATTTAAAAATTCTAAATAAGGACTCTACTGACGAGCAAGATAAAAAATGACTCTACTGACGAACAAAATGTAAAACAACTTGGACGATCAGAAAAGGATTCTACTGACGAGCACATACAAAATAAGAACTTAGAAGATCAAAAAAGGGACCCTACTCTAATAACAACTTGGTAATAAAAAGGGACTCTACTGACGAGCAAATTGAATAACAACTTAGAAGATGAAAAGGGACTCTACTGACGAGCAAAATGAAAAACTACTCACTGTTAATAATAAAAAGGGACTCTACTGACGAGCAAATTGAATAACAACTTAGAAGATGAAAAAGGACTCTACTGACGAGCAATTTGAATAACAACTTAGTAATAAAAAGGGACTCTACTGACGAGCAAATACAAATTAACAACTTTGATGATCAAAAAGGGACTCTACTAATGAGCAAATCAAATAACAACTTTGTAATAAAAAGAGATTCTACTGACGAACAAATTTAATTACAGTTTGGAAGATAAAAAGGGACTCTACTGACGAACGAATACAAAAAGCAACTTAGACGATTAAATAGGGACTTCGAAATTGTAAAACAACTTAGTAATAAAAAGGGACTCTAGTGACGAGCAAAATAAAAAAACTCCTTAAAGGTCTAAAAATGGACTCTACTAACGAGCAAACAAAAAAAAAATAATAAAGAACTCTACTGACGAGAAAACTATATCCCAAGACGACAAAAGGGACTCTATTGACGAGCAAAACAAAATAGAGTCTGAAATTATAAAAAAGAACTCTACTGACTAGCAAAAAATATGAATGAAGTTTGAAAAAAGGACTCTACTGACAAGCATATTGCAAAACAACTTGATAATAAAAAGGATCTCTACTGACGAATAAATACAAAATAACAACTTAGACGATCAAAAAGGAACTTTACTGACGAGCAAATTGTAAAATAACTTAGTAATAAGAAGGGGACTCTATTGACGAGCAAATTGTAAAACAACTCAGAAGATAAAAAGGGACTCTACTGACGAGCAAATACAAAATAACGACTTAGACGATCAAAAAAGGGACTCTACTGACGAGCAAATACAAAATAACAACTTAGACAATGAAAAAGGGGACTCTACTGACGAGCAAATTATAAAATAACTTAGTAATAATAAAGAGACTCTACTGACGAGCAAAACTAAATAGACTCTAAAATTCTAAAAAAGGACTCTACTGACGAGCAAATTGAATAAAAACTTTGTAATAAAAAGGGACTCTACTGACGTTCAAATTGAATTACAGGTTAAAATTTTAAAAAGGGACTCTATCGTGGAGCAAACTTAAATCTCGTTAGGACTCTATTAACAAATAAACAAAAAAATGTAACTACTGTATGATGACACGCATCGAGGGTCGAAACGTACAAAAATAACAGCAATAACATTTCAAGAATATGTTTTCAACATCAAATAAAAAATCTTAATATAATATAAATGATATTTTTGCATTATTTGTTAGATGATATTAATGTTAAAGGGGGCCATGGCAACGCTATTTATTCTTGTTAGTGATTATGTGAAAATGTCCATCTTTTTGCCGTGCGATCAGGCGTATTTTACATATAAACAAGCAAGAGAGAATGTTATGATAGCAGAATCTTCCCTTACTTGTTTTTATGTAAAATACGCCCGATCGCACAGCAAATATGTAGACATTTTTACAGTTTTCACTGCCAAGCAATTATAGTTGCCATGATAACGAGGCAGAATTACCACAAAACTATTCTATCTCACGCATTTTGACAGTTTTTAGTACCAATTTATATGAGAAAATATTTTATATGCTATCTATTCTACGGCAGAATCGGCACATAATTCTCGATATTAGACCGTAATCTACTGACGAACAAAATAAATATAAACCAGTAAGATGGAAAAGGACTCTACTGATGAGAGAAACTGCATCTGAAAGGACCATACAAACGAATAATTTATTTAGCAACATAGAAGATAAAATGGAAGTCTAGTGACAAGCAAACTGATTTCGATATAAGAAGAAGAACGCACTCTAGTGACGAACAAATTAAATAGCAATCTGAAGAATAAAACAGAAATGACTCTACTGACGAACAAACCGCTACTTCTAAATAACGATAAATAAATAACGTATAAAAATAAATATTAAGAATGAAAGTACTTTAACAAATACAATTCGAGAACATGAGAGTACATTTTGAGAATAAGTTTTGAATGTCGAACAAAAAATTTCATTGCATATATAAACAACTACACTATTTGCATTAGAAAGTCTCGATGGTCAATCTCAACATCAGGGAAAATTATTATCAGTGTTTTCAGAGATTTTTCAAAATATTTTTACTTTTCTTTCAGAATGATTACTATAAACCAAGATGGTTCTGGAGAAGACAACCAAAGGAACCCTCGTGCCATCAATTCGACCAACAACGAAAGCACTTTATTGCAAGGACAACAGACATATTTTGCAGACGAAAAAGTCTTGATACCAGAAACAGAAAAAGTAAAAAAAATCACTTTTATATATATATATATATATATATATATATATATACACATTTATCTATCTATTTTTTTCCAGGAGGGTTTCAGTTTCCGTAAACTATGGGCCTTCACCGGCCCTGGATTTTTAATGTCGATAGCATATCTAGATCCTGGTAATATAGAAAGCGATTTACAAAGCGGTGTCGTGGCGCAGTACAAATTGCTATGGATCTTGCTGAGTGCCACGGTGTTGGGCCTTGTTATGCAAAGGCTCTCGGCAAGGTAATAAAATTTACAATGGACACATGAAAGATTTTTACTATTATGTTATAAAAACAAGAATTATTCTTTTTTAAAGTAATACATTTTTAAAGTAATATGTTATATTTTTATTTGCTCGTCAGTAGAGTCCCTTTTTACCATTAACTTTTTTCACAAAATAGTGACCTTTTGGTCATTTTTATTCAAATGTTTGCTCGTCAGTAAAGTCCGTTTTTCCTAAAATGTTTCAATATATTTGCTCGTCAGTAGAGTTTGTTTTCGAATAAATTGCTCTTAACATTTTCATTTGCTCGGTCTTCTTTTCCTATTAACTATTAACTTTTTTTTGCTGGCATTTTTTTTAAAGTTATATGTAGATTTGATTTGCTCGTCATTAGAATTCTCTTATCTTCTAAATCGTCAGTAGAGTCCTTTAACATATAACTTCAGTTTGCTCGTCAAAAGGGCCCTTGTTTTTCTTTACACTTATTTGTTTGTCAGTAGTTTCTTTTTATCTTATTTTATTTTGTTTGTCAGTAGAGCCCCTTTTCCCTTATTTTCAGTTTGCTCGTCAGTAGATTTCCTTATTTCTATAATTCTAAGCCTTTAGGTTGCCAATAGGCCTTTTTTATCATCCAAATCGTCAGTAGAGTCCTTTTAACTTATAATTTCAGTTTGGTCTTTGGTAAAGTCCCTTTTCCTTCCATTTTTAGTTTGCTCATCAGTAGAGTCTCTTTTTCTTCCATTTACAGTTTGCTCGTCAGTAGAGTCCCTTTTCCTATTTAGTTTTCAGTTTGCTTATTAGTAGTACTTACCTTTTATTTTTAATTTGCTCGTCAGTAGAGTCTCATTTGTTTTTAATTTGCTCGGTTTCTTTTCAATTTTAATTTTAGTTTGCTCGTGAGTAGAGTCCTCTTCTAGGCTCAAGGCTATCAGTACAGTTCTTTTATCATCTTCTAGATTGTCAGTAGAGTTCTTTTATTATATATTGACATCTCTAACCTTATAGATTATTTACACATGCAACGTACCTTACGGCAAAATGCCAATTACACCGAGTTCAATAAAATATTGTTCAATAAATATTGTTCAATAAAATATTGTTCAATAAAACTATATAAAATAATAAAACAGAAAAGAAATTGCACAGTGTGAAACACACTTTATACTAAAGCCGTTGCACCACTTGCAATTTCATATACAGCGCTTACAAATATATTTATATGAACGTAGATACATGTGTTGACGGCTTAAGTATTTAAAGCTGTTCTCACATGTACGATTTATGAAAAAATTTAATAAAAATTCGAAATTATGTTAAGTTTCAAATGCGTCAACGGATTTTAACCATTTAAAAACCATTTGGACACACATTATTAGTTTTATCTGATAATAATATACGTAAGATTGATTTATAGAACAAATAATATAAAATGTTTATATTATAATTCAAATAAAACAAAATGACATAC